ACAGTTAGGCCTGGGTCTGTCACTTCCAAAGCTAGCACAATCATTCCTGATGCAGTTCAAGGTAACGTCATAGGTACCCTCTAATTTAAACTTTATATCAACGACATATGTGCTTGCTTCCGACAAGGCAGCATTTTCCTCTTTGCAGATGATCTAGCTTATACATTCCAGTGTAATGACCTAGGATACCTTCAGAATTTATTCCAGAATGGACTATATAAAGTGACTGAGTGGTCATCGTTATGGAATCCACAATTCAGTCTGGACAAATGTGGTTGGATCCGGTTCAGCGCACGCTCAATCGACACATAATTAGCACTTCAATCTGCTGACATACCTAGACTCTGAAGTTTCGTCGACTTAGTCCTGAGGTATTCGAGCGGTCTAATATTTTCTGAGCAATTTGCATGGCAGACTCGAAAGTCGAGGATGCTCTAAGGATGCATAGTGAGAAACTTTCACAGCAATGAAGCCAAGTTTACACCATAAAAAACATGTATAAGACCACCATTAGAATACCGTCTATTTATTGCTAGCACCACTCGCACATGTGACAAGCTGAAAATAGAAAGTGTCCAGCGACACCTCACTCCCAAACTACTGGGATTTGACTGTTAGAAAGACAACAGTTCACGGCACATCTCTCTGAATCTTGACCCACTCTGGAAGAGACGACTTATTATAAGCGTAGTATTCTTCTTTAAGGTCCTACATAAAATATCATTCTCGAAAAGTAAGTACGTGTAATTCTCACCGGAGGCCTCTTACAATGCTAGTGACCAAACATTCACAGTGTCAGTAAAAGGCTTTAAATGATCACTCATTGGAAATTTATTTTAAAATGTGGAAGAGTTTGCCCCCATAAATAAGAACCTGCACCTCGATAATAAGCTTCAGACTTAATCTATACAGACTCCTTCATTCTACTGACTACATCAACAAACTGTTTATTTCTGGGATGAATCAAACATTGGGGGCCTATGATATCTGAAGAACGCGTAACTCTTTACTAGTCACATTGCATGAGCGGCAAAGTGGCCAGTTGCATAGATTTACAAAAAAAACTAAGAGAATATCAAATGTGTTTATGAGATAGAAATGTGCAATAACTATCAACATGTATAGATACCAACATTAAATTTCTGCTTATGTCCACATATTTTTCTTTTTCTGGTACTCTGCTGCTTGCTTCGTCTCTTCTGTTTGCCCTGCAGTGGAAACTGCGTCGACCTGCAGTAAGACTGAGGTTGAAGAGGACTTGAAGCCACTTACTTATATATGTCATAACATCCTCCAAGCTTTGGGCTCGCAATAGCAACATCCTTGAAAAATCCCCTGTAACCATAACAGGACGCTTTATAACATCATACACAAGCAATATCCAAGAACTAATATGGTTTACAGATAGTTTTCTACGTGTCAATCCCCTTACTCGTGCAGAACACCATGCAGCGACAAATGGTGGCTGACCACGGCACAGTAAAACAAATCTGCCTGGCTATAGCCGATATTAGTCTGCATTGAGTACAGTTCACTTCCGATGCAAATGCTGAGAAAATTATACAAATGTATCACTTATTTTAAGCTGATGCCTGATTTGGATATTAATCAGGAATAAGTTTCTATGCCGTACACAGCAAAATCGAGTTGCAATGATGGCAATATTTACATGGTCAAGTGATTCAGGGAAGCAAATAAGTGGATAAAGGTAAATTTAATCAATATCAACCTGTTGCTAGGCTCAACCCTAAGCGTAGAATTAAGTCTAAGTGATAAAATGTCAGGATAGAATTCTCAGATTAGCTCATGAATACTATGGATGAAATCGATTATAGAAGGATTTTTTGTATGTTGTACAAGGTCATTTGGTTGGTCGTTCATCTGGTCTGCTATGCTTTATTTCTGTATGTTATAATGTCAATTTTTCACTGATTAACAATTTCCTAATTGATTCTTTTCTTTGAGGCGATGAACAGTTCTAGTTTGTTAATTTCTTTGAGACTTGTTGTATTTAGAATAGCCAAAGAACATCTAAAAGTGAACGTTATTGACTTTGAGCTTTTGAAAATTGTACACTGTTCTCATACTACATCTGGTGAAAATTGTGGTGTAGAGTTTTTATTGTTTTAATTCTTGCGTGCACAGAGACGCTCTTTTCAAGGTTACCCTGGGCGTGACTTGTGGGACGAACTTTCGGTGTTGTTCATGTGAGTATTCCATACTAATACCGTCATTGTTTTTCAGAAAGCTTCAAAATGGATATCGATAAAGCACGTCTAGAGAAGCTTGAGAAGTTCAAGGGTATGAGTGATCAAGTGCGCATCGGTGGTAAAGGAACAGCTCGTCGAAAGAAAAAAGTTGTACACAAGAATGCGGCTGCTGACGATAAGAAACTGCAAAGTTCTCTTAAAAAGCTCAGTCTTAACACTATTCCCACGATTGAGGAGGTATAATTTTTATAGTACTCTAGTTTATGTCAGGTCAATATGTATAAAACAGATGGCACAATGATACATTTTAAGAACCCGAAGGTTCAGGCTGCACCGCAAGCTAACGTATTTGCAGTTACTGGTCAAGCTGAGTACAAAGGTATTTTACAATTTCAATCTATTTATCTTTTAGCACTGAATGATTTATTCCCAAATATGTTAAACCAGTGGGAGAATGCAAAGCTACGCCTATCTAAACTGAGTGGTAAGTTTGCTTTTTTCAGCTTTGAGGAGTGTTGATGCATTTTATGTAGTTTTAATGCTGACTCAAGTTAACATCAAGACAGCTTATGAGTCTTTAATAAGTAGGATGCAGTTGCTGGGGAAAGTCCCTAGTTTATGTCTATTCATCTTAATCTTTGGCTCTAATGTCGTAAAGCGAGTGCCTTGATAGTTGGATCTAATTAAGTAATTAATTAGTTAATTCTGCTGCCTCGGAAAATTCTATTCGTGTTACAACTTGTTTTTGTGTGGTCTGCTATACATCTTGGGTATTCCCAGTCCCTTTGAATCCTTGTTTGTTCTATGAGTGGTGAACCAGACCATTAACTGCCGTAGCAACTATGTCTGTGTATCAAGTCCTTTAAGTGTGTTTACCTGGTAAAGTACTGCCACTCGTCCCAGAAGTGGATTCCAATGCATTATTACTCAGTGGACTGATACTGCAATCTAGATTATCTACGTCTGTGATGTAGTCAGTGGACAAGTGTAAGTATGATTGGATCTGACCTCCATTTATTCACAGTGAGATCATACTTGCTTTGAAGTTTTTATTTCCTGCGGTCCTTCCCCACTCATTGCCTAGTTTGCCTGTGGATGCAACGGTGGCGATTCTACCAAAGCAGAAACTCGGTATATATGCAGGTAATTAACTGGGAAATGAGGATAGGTAACATGTCCTCAAATATACATGAAGCTGTGACTACACGTTATACTGTCAGGGACCCAGACTATAACTCGATCACCCAAAATAAGTGTATGGCAACTACTTAATTCGCCACTTGTGGCGTAAGAAGCTTAAGACCTCCATCACTTTGATGTTAGCATGGGAGATCTGATACTTGTTTTTCCGGATACAGGCGAGTTCAAGGTGTTAAATGCTAAACGACATAGATTTGTGGTGCTAATAATGCATTGAAGGCTCCTGCGCCAAATATTTCTACTAAAACAGCATTGATGTTGCACAGAACTGTTATTTTGACAATTCAGACTGCATTTTGTTACCTCGTCATTGTCAGTATCTCAGCTTTACTTGATTTGGAAACCCACCTCACATTCTTGTGCAATTTCTTGAAATCTAACCTAAGCAGTACTTCACTGCTCATTGCGCTACTAACGGCACGTTCACCTGGTACTGATGGGGGGTGGGATCGGCTTAGCATGTTGAAATGCTTCTAAAATTGATATTATAGTTCATAGTGTGTTGAGCAATGGACCTCCAATTACTGACTCAAAGATGTCAACCTCTGTTAGTATACTTGTCTATACTCGGTAGTCAGCCATTGCTCACGGATAGGACTAGATTCCAAATGCGTCAACATATATTTTCTTGATAGGGTTCTAAACAGTTAAAGCTGTAAGATCTTCACTTGTGAGCACCATTGACATCCCCTTTAACGAATGAATTCTCCAACTGATTTCGTCAGTAAGCAGTATCGCTGTCGCCTAGTTGTTTTGGCTGATTCGTATGTGACCAAAATTGCAATAAAAACATTTTGGGTATGCATGATCGATTCTTTTATAATTTAATCTAAAGACAATTAAGTATTTGTGGTGCTTCGAATATGAATAAATATTTTACAAAGCATACTTTCTCTCCCTCCCTCTCCTTCTATATACTTATCGATGATGAAGCAGCTAACAATGTATGTACTAGGCAAAGTCAGCACAATATGTTAGTTATGCCTTAATCAAACTAAATTTCTTGACATTATGTAGTCAGTCATCTGAAGTTAGCTCTTGAAGATCAGTGAGTGTGTAATCTACTTGATCAAGAGTGGAAGTAGCGAAAGATGACAAAAATTATATTTTGGACAGTTGTAACATACCTAGATTTAAACAAACTTGAATGTCATTAATAAGAAGTTTCAGCCTCATCGTTATGCATTTTAAGGGGGAAGTATTTGCATCTCAAACCAGGTTGCTCGTAGATTTCCTCCTATTGATTTAACCCATTTGTTGGAGATGCAAAAAGACTTCAAATGTGAATGTGAATGAGTATTATAAACTTTTATCAAAATTGTCATGTACTGTAAATGATTTTGAAATTAGCTGTGCATTACATCAGTGCTCTGGTTTAATTTGACGTTGCGCCAACACTCAGTATTATACTGCCTTCGCAATAACCAAGCAATAATTGTGTTCAGTAGATTTTTTGGATAAGACTTTATCATAGATAGTTGTGGATGATTTTCACAGCTTTCTTACAACACCTCTGAACATCTTTATGTGTTTGACTGGTTGTTTATGCTACATTGTTTTTTCCAACTATCTCCCTTTTTTCTTTTACAGAAGGTGCAAAGGCAGCAGACTCAAAGGCCGAGGATGGAGATGATGATGTACCCGAGCTCGTTGAAGATTTTGATGAGAAAAGTCGTTTGGAATAGAGAATGACTTTTTTCTCTCTCAGTTGAACAACATTTACTTCATGCCTACTTCGGGTGTTTTAGTATGTCTGAAATAATAAATAACCCTGCAAGGAAATAAAAAATAATTTCAAAAATGTTCACTTGTATTGTATCATGTTTGGTTCCTTTTTTATTGGTGCTTGAAAAACAGCTTTTATTCTCCTTTTTCTTCATCTTCTTCATCATCCTCATCTTTGTTTCCCTCCCCATCCCACCCCACACTTTTAAAATCGTGCGATATACTGCGCACTATTCACATGAAACTTTTTAAATGCTGTACTTAACAATACAACAGTTTTGAAAACAAGCTTCCAATCTATAAGCAAACCTCGCACTGTGTCCCGACTCTAGTATCGATTTGTGTATAGCTCAATGAGAATTAAAACATGGAGTAAATGTTTTGATTATGTTTGGTTTTGATTACAGACATTTTCATGATAAGTAAGTAATGCTGTATGATTGATTTTGTCTACGATGAGATGATTGTCTGTCTAGTTGAAAGCATAAATGTTGGGTATCCTTTTTCGATGCACCAAGGTTTTCTTTTGGTAAGTTTAGTGCTAGTTGTGAAATACTCATGAAGCATAGATGTTTGGCGATTAAAAAACGTGCAATTTTCCTAAATTAATTTTAACTCGCTGGCTACTTTAAAGTCGTTGATTTGGGCCACTGTTACCCTTACTTTCGATATTATTTTTCCACCGCAGATGTTTTAAGTCATGAACCTGTTTGTTATGTTTGGTTCCATTCATCCCGAGAGTTAACATAATGATCTTGTGCTTGGGAGGAAAAATACGAGAGAACCAAGAAGAGGGTGTGTTGATCATAAGTTCACCCTTCGACAAATTCTGACCGACTGGTTTCAACGTAGAACTTTGCACAGATGTGCACCAGTCCGAGTTGCCACACTCCCTCCAAAAGAAGAGAGAGATAATAAACAGAAATATGTGGCAAAAAGAACAGTAATATGGAAGAACAGTAGAGTTTTACTGGATATGATAAATCACAAAGAATGAATGCATCTATGCTGTCATTGACAACGAGGACTTTGAGCCGTATTACCCAATTGTATCCAACCGCCGTCATTGGTTCTTACCATCCCAAGGACCTTACTCATTCTACACCTCCCTAAGTGGTTGGCTGGCTTAAACTAACTGTTGTGGATTTCATTGGCTGATGGAGTCGTGTTTGGTTTGACCACCACTAGCTCTCTTCCAACTTCATCCATCCTGTTTAACTAGCTAACATCGCCCGTTGTTGAGGAAGGCGATGGCTAGGCTGGGTTGGTCATGCGTAACACATGTCCTAACCATCTCAATCGGTGTAACTTCATAACCCCTCGATAGATTTCCCCTCTTTACACAGCATTCAGCCGAGGCCTAAACTCGAAATTGCTCACCTTATTATACCACCTAACACACACGGGAAATAGAACGCAGACACAAAATGATCAAAGGCAGCTAGCCTTTCCATATCTTCCACTTCTGATGGCCATATCTCAGCCATAAAGGAGGACAGAGCCAAGTATTGAGCAGTACACACTCCCTTTAGTTGACAGTCAGATATCACGTCTACTAAACCATAGATACTGCACATCTGTGCAAAGTTCTACGTTGAAACTAATCAGTCAGTCATAACGATCTTCTGTTGTTTACAATTTACTGGAATGTCGAGTTATAGCAAATTATGCTTAGTAAATACAAAATATTCAAGGTTGTACATTCTTAGATAGCTTGTCACTTTTAGATTGATTATGGAATTGTGCTACACATTATCTTGAAGACAAGGTGTATATGAGTTGCATAACTTTCCTGTGATTTTCGTCAAAGAGGTGTATTCGCTTCATGAAGCACGAAGTTAAACTTAATATGTCTTCAAATAAAGATGTTTGCGTTCTACCTCTCGTTTTAAGTGGTATAGTACATGATTTAGGATTAGATTGAAAAGGAGCTAGGGGTGATGGAAACATGACATCATTGCGTGAAGTCTTTGTCTGCTAGTTTAAGTTAGACACTTGGGGTGTTTCAGACTGTCTGCCTCGGGTTGTTAAGATCCAATGACTCGAGACTGCTAGTGGTTGTTCTCAGTAGCACAGACGCGTTTACACTTTGTAATCTCCCAGGTTCTTTTTGTCCTCGTGCTTCTCCACGTTAGTATTCTTCCTGCTAGTCGGTGTTGGCTTGGCGTAGACGTGATATCCGACTATCGACCAAAGGGCGTGTGTACTGCTCTGCAATCCTCTCCGTCCTCCTTTATGGCTGTGAGACCTGGCCATTGAGAGTGGGAGACATGAAAAGCCTGGCTAGCTGTCTTTGATCATAGGTGTCTGCCTTCTATCTCCCGCGTGAAGTGGTGTAATAAGGTGAGCAATATTGAGGTTAGGCGTCGAGTGCTAGGTAAGGAGGGGAAATCAGTCGACGAAACTGTGAAATTACATTGACTGAGATGGTTAGGACATGTGTTACGTATGCCTAGTCATCGCTTTCCTCGACAATGGGCAATGTTAGCTGATATAGGGTCAGGATGGAAAAGAGCTAGCGGCGGTCAAAGGAAATCATGGCACCAGTCAATGAAATCCACAACAGTTAGTCTAAGCCACGTAGGAAGGTGTAGACTTCCTGGTTGGGGTCCTCGGGATGGTAAAAACCAATGGTTGGAAACAATAGATGACATGGCTCGAATCGTTCTCAGTGGCGCAGATGAATCCACTCCTTGTGATCTATGATTTCCAATTAAACTATATTGTTCTTCGTTATTAATATTCCTTTGTCTCACACCTCTGTTTACTGTCTCTAATATGCATTTCGTTTTACTTTCTTCTCTTGCTTTGTGTGCTACATGGAGTGTGGCGACTCGAACTGCCGCACATATATGCAAAGTTCTATGTTGAAAATAGACAGACAGGCAGACAGTTAGCTTGTTCGGAACAGTGATGGCGTTATCACTCAAACTAATTTGAATGCACGTTTATCTGACTAACATTTCAACACAGCTAGACATAGTCTCCGTGCACAAACAATGGTTATAATTATATGTTTTTTTCACTCATATGATATAATGTAGAGATCACGTGATTGACATTGTCAACTTTTAGGGTATTTAAGAAGCGCAGTTCAATTTGATTTTCTCTCATTTTTGTTTTATGTAAATAAGCTTATCTGTCGTTTCAATCCGACTGAACTTATGCTATAAGATAATCGATTTTTTTCTATATCATAAGTTGCTTCTACGCTTGTATTGATTCGAAAGAAAGGCATAAGTGTTTGTACTTGATGTACAAGAGTATGTGTTTTGGGGTGTGGCGTTTACGACAGTTTATCATAGCACAGTTAATGAGGAGGCCTCCATGCATTTTCGATGAACATTCAAGTGTGTACACAGTACCAAATCGCTTGATTGATTTTGCGTGATTCTGAGTCCTGGAGTTTAAGTTTATTTTATTGCAGACTACAGGCTAGAATTAATGCATAATGTTTACTAAACTAGACATATATGTACCACTAAAGTGATATTTAGCGAAGATGCTCAGAATTCCCAAATGAGAATAGGATGGCACTAGCTAACCTACAGATATCCCGCATAATTCGGGTGTGTCATGATAGACTCACTTTAGTGTCTCCACCTACGAACCAGGAATTTTGTTTACTGTCATTATTATTATTATTCCCTTGGGTTTCTAGTGAAACACACAGCTTCAACAACACATCACCACTTTCTTCTATCCTCTTCGACTGACTGGGCCCACGATTGCACATAATCTCTCATCTCGTCTTCACCACACGATCTCTTCCATGTCACCCTCGCACTGACGACCCATTCGGGTTTCATTCGAGTGATGGCATGCACTGAGTGCGATGTCATTGGACAATCACCTTAGTGGCATGTGCCAAATCCATCTCCATTTTCTCCTACATATATGTTGAACGAAAGGTTCTTGGTTAGTTTGTTCTCATATTATTTTGTTACTGGTTCTTTCTGGCCAGCTGGCCGGCATGCTATTTGATCCTCAATATAGAGTCAGCGAAGGGAGCAGCTGTTGATAGAAGTCTACAATCTGTTGGAAGTACTTTACATGACGCGCAGTGCGGGTTTCTGACCTATATAGAACAATTGACTGACTTGACATTTGTGTTGAACAGAATCTGAATCTTGTTGTTTATGCTGACTGGCTGAGTGAGTGCAGAAGACTTCCAAGCCGACTTCAGATTGATGAAGGTGTATCTTACCTTTCCTATTCTGGCTGGCCGGCTTTGACATCTTCACCCGTGCTGTTGCCTGTGGTTGGAACAAGCCTTCCTAGACATAAGTGAAGGAAGTAACCTCTGTCAAATCTCTCTCGTTGATGGCGTTTGCCGTTGGTTGGTTGGTTATCTTCATCACCTCTGCCTTCTCTATGTCCACCTGTAGTCCTGTATTCACCGCACTACTTCTTGTGCCAATTTGTTGGTTTTCGCCTGCCTGCAAGTTTTCGAGTGTGTGTGATGTTAAACATGAATCGTCCACACGCGAAATCCAGGTCTTTGAGAGTCTTCTTGTCTGTTCAATATATTCCTGTCTTCTACCTTTCCACAGTCTCAAGAATGATCCATTCCACCACAATTAGGAATATCATCATTGTTGATAATACGCAGACAGCCTTGTCTTTCTTCTGTGTTTACTTCAAAAGCTTCGTTGAGTTTTCCATTGTAGATCACGTGGTACGTGGCATTGTCACTTGATGTGTAAATTTTTTTCATTCTGTCAACTCAGGTCATCAATAGAACCGCATCTTTATTCAATCTGTTACTTAACCTCTAGCAGTGCGTCGGTAGCATAGCGGTTAGGACGCTCGCCGACCATGCACATAGTCTGGGGTTCGATTCCAGGCCACTGGACTCACTCCTTTACCTCGCTAAGCTAATATTAAGAAAAGATGGTAAAGAGGAAAGGTTAGGCATGAGGCTAGCAACCCCATCCTGTAAAAATGAACACCACTGCTACAGAAACTTCAAGTCTCTAGCTTGAAGGTGCCGTCTGTTCCACTGGGAACGTGAAGGAATAAAAAAACCTCTGGCAAGTTAGAATTTTAGGCTTCACATGTTTCTTTGATTCTTGTTCAAAAAGTTATGAAGACATAGTCAAAATGAAACATTCGTTTAAAACTTTGTAGCACCACCATGCCAACGACAACTTCTTTATCAATATAGCCTAGCTAGCTCTTTTGATGTGTCTTTGTTCTAGGTGATCGGGCGTGTGACGAGTGTTTTGGGAGTGAGGGCGATTTATTTTGGTGATCGCTTTGGATGGAAAACAATTTTCTAAGCCAGTAACAACTTTCGACTACATCATTCCAGTTATGTTGTCGCTACACTCTTATTTGCTCAATGGTCTACGAGCTCGCCTTGTAACCAGAAGGTCCTAGGTTCGAACCCCGGTGGGTGCGTACTGATGAAGAGTCCCAAACTAGGATGAAACAGCTGTCCAGTACTCCAGTGCTGGTTTTCAATGGTTCTCTAACTGATATCAATCCGTGATCAATTCGTATAAACTATAAGCACCACTAACTACTACCAATCAGCGAATGACCACGAACACACCAATCACATCAAGGAGACATTTCCGTGTCTTGAAGACATATATTTATGAAATAATGTATAAAAACTGTAGAAAAGCGTTACAGAGGATACCTTGCTCTCACATGTGATAAAAATAGGGCGAAGTTCAACAACAGCGTCCCAGGTGTGCGAACGATCCAATGACCTTGAATGCACGCTAGTCGTTGGCTCTCAGTTGTAGGTTGTTGTATCAACAGAGTATAATTTCATTGCAGATAAAATTTATTTTGATAAAGCTTCAAAGTATAATACAGTAATATTTGCAGAGCAATAAATTGTGCTCAAAACATGGTCATCAGTAAATATTTCAGTATAACACTGTGAGACTTTATCAAAATAAATTTTACTTACAATGGAATTATGCTCTACCACCACAGTGCACAAGTCCTATTCTTATACCAACAGAGTAATTTAACCACATTCTATGCATGGAATTATTTAGGTCTTCTAAACCTAACAATGTGCGTCGGTGGCACAGCGGTTAGGACGCTTCGCCGACCATGCACATGGTCCGGGGTTCGATCCCCGGCCACCGACGCACTCCTTTACCTCGCTAAGCCAGTAATAAGACTGGTAAAGAGGGAAGGTTGGGCATAAGGCCAGCAACCCCATCCCGTAAAAATAAACTCTGCTACAGAAACTTTAAGCCTCTAGCTTGAAGCCCTATGTTCCACTGGGAACGTGAAGGAATAAAACAAAAAAAAAAACCTAACAATAACCCTAATCTTTTCTGAACCTAACCGTAACGTGAAAATATCCCTAAACTAACTGTAATCTAACTCGAACCAACCCTAATGTCGCCTTTATTAGCTTAACCTGACCCTAACTTGTCCTTGGCTTAAAGAGTAGCTTAATCTTTCCCAAACGTAAGCTGAAACTTGCCAGATATCCTACTTAATAGATAACATAACACTTCGATGAGGATATTTTATTGATGATGACAACATTATTTGCCAGGTTTCAGTGACTCGCTCAGTGCGCGTTTCAAGATCATTGGTGCAGTCGCACTGCATTCGTAGTTAGTTAGTGGCGCCTAAAGTTTTAACTTGGCCTAATGAACTATATCTGCATATTATACATGCACCCCAATACAAACAGTTTCCGATATAATTTTCACATGCCTCTAATGACTGGCTATTGGTATTATAATATTTATGGATTATTCATACATTTGGTTCCCTTGATAAATTTCGATAAAGAAAGGAAGACGAAATTTGCAGTATAAAATATGATATCACCATTCTATTTCACAGGTTCTCCTCATCAGCTGCACACCACTACCTGAAATGACAATGGTTATATATAGATGATAATAACATACTTTAATATTTGAGTGCTAGTAGTTGAGAAGAGATACTATAAAATTGATGCATCCAAAGTGTAAGCAGCATTACAATTTCCAGTTTAAGTTTTCATCATCAATTTATACGCTTTTAAAGTTGAGAAGATGGGGGAGGGTAAGATAGAAAAAAGAAAAAAATTAATTAACAGAACAGTGTTAGCTTGTACGTTCACATAACAACTCAGAAAACATAAGCGGCTACAGTTTTTGTGATCTCAACTCACTGAGCAAATCTTAATCTCAGAAACTGATGAAAACTTAAACTAAAAATTGTAATGCTACTAACATTTTGGATGCGTCAATTCTATAGTATCTCTTCTCAACTACTAGCACTCAAATATTAAAGTATGTTATTATCATCTATATATAACCATTGTCATTTCAGGTAGTGGTGTGCAGCTGATGAGGAGAACCTGTGAAATAGAATGATGATATCACATTTTATACTGCAAATTTCGTCTTCCTTTCTTTATCGAAATTTATCAAGGGAACCAAATGTATGAAAAATCCATAAATATTATAATACCAATAGCCAGTCATTAGAGGCATGTGAAAATTATATCGAAAACTGTTTGTATTGGGGTGCATATATGATATGATATGCAGTTATAGTTCGTTAGGCCAAGTTAAAACTTTAAGCACCACTAACTAACTACGAATGCAGTGCGACTGCACCAATGATCTTGAAACGCTCACTGAGCGAGTCACTGAAACCTGGCAAATAATGTTGTCATCATCAATAAAATATGCTCATCGAAGTGTTATGCTATTAAATGGGATATCTGGCAAGTTTCAGCTTAGGTTTGGGAAAGATTAAGTTACGCTTTAAGCCAAGGACAAGTTAGGGTTAGGTTAACCTAATAAAGGCGACATTAGGTTTGGTTCGAGTTAGATTACAGTTAGTTCAGGGATATTTTCATGTTACGGTTAGGTTCAGGAAAGATTAGGGTTATTGTTAGGTTTAGAAGACCTAAATAATTCCATGCATAGAATGTTGTTAAATCACTCTGTTGATTTAAGGATAGGACTTGTGCACTGTGGTGGTAGAGTATAATTCCATTGTGGGTAACATTCATTTTGATATAGTCTCACAGTGTTATACAGTCTTATCTATTGATGACGTTTCGAGCACAATTTATTGCTCAGGAAATATTACTGTATTATATATACTATGAGAATTTATCAAAATAAATTTTACCCACAATGAAATTATACTCTGTTGATACTACAACCTACAACTGAGAGCCAACGACTAGCATGTATTCAAGGTCATTGCAGCGTTCGCACACCTGGGAATCTGTTGTTGATCTTGGCCCTATTTTTATCACATTTGAGAGCAAGGTATCCTCTGTAACGCTTTTCTACAGTTTCTATACATTATTTCATAAATATATGTCTTCAAGACACGGAAATGTCTCCTTGATGTGATTGGTGTGTTCGAGGTCATTCGCCGATTGGTGATAGTTAGTGGTGCTTAAGGTTTATACGACTTTGACCGCAGATTGACATCAGTTAGAGAACCATTGAAAATCATCACTTGAGTACTGGACAGCTGTTTCACCAGCCTAGTTCGGGACTAACTCTTCAACAGTTCGCACCCGCCACCAGTGTTCGAACCCAAAACCTTCCGGTTACAAGGCAGGCTTGCTCATTGACCATTCAGCAAATAGGACCCAATTCAACAACCAGTTCATGCATTTTAACTTCTACCAATTTAGCGCGACTGGTGCCAGCCAGTGTCATCGGCGGGAAATATTGTTATTTCTGAATAAGACAATGTTATATTATTATCATTAATTTTCTAAGTTCATTTTAATATTAAACAATGTAAAAGTCTGTTTCCTTTTTTCTCTCTCCTGGAATTGCCATTATGGTTCAATCTCATGTTAGCTTAGCATCTTTGATGATTGTTCAGCAAGTTTCGCTAAGCCTTCACAACGTTTTCTTTCGATGTACTGTAAATCCTAGAGAGGAAAAAAAGAGAGAAGATGGAAATTTCATATAATTCTTCTCCTGAGTAAACTTGAACAAATAAAAAAAAAACGAACAAGTATACTAGGATAACATGAGCTCATCCTTTATTATGTCGAGGATTTATTCTCAACTGACTATTACACAACCTGAACAATACAAAACACATATAAATTACATTAAAGATTTGAAAATACTTTTCTCCTTTGGTGTCCACAAGGGGGAATTAATAGGAACTAAGAGTAATAAATAGCTTGCAATCAAAGGTGATGATATTGTTAGTATTATTATTATTCCCTTGGGTTCCTAGTAGAACATAGGGCTTCAACTGCACGTCTCCACTTGCTTCTGTCTTCTACTATGCTTTTCACCTGCATCCATGTTAATCCATACTGTTTCAACTCCTCTTCACACGATCTCCTCCATGTCACCCTTGGACGTCCCACTCGCCGCTTACCTTTCGGGTTCCACTCGAGCTATGGCCTGACACGCGATTTCACTCAACGGCCTCCTTACCTAATGTCCAATCCATCTCCACTTTCTCCTGCATATGTGTCGAGCGATTAGTTCTTGTTTTGTTTGTTCCCATAGTTTCTTGTTGTTGATTCTTTCCGGCGGCCATCTGATCTTGAGTATAGAACGAAGACAGTTGTTGATAAAGGTCTGCAACAGGTTGTTGGAAATATTCTTTGTGACTCGCCAAGCTTCTGTCTGATCCTTATAGAAGAACTGACTGACTTGACGTTTGTATTGAAAATCCGAATTTTGTTGTTGATGCAGGCTGAGTGACGAAGATTTCCAGATTGGTTTCAGGTTGATGAATGTGTTTCTCGCCTTCCCGATTCTCGACCTGATATCCTCGTCCGTTCTTCCTGTAGTTGAGACAATGCTCCCTAGATAAGTGAATGAAGTAACCTCTTTCAAATCCCTCCCGTTGATGGTGATTGGCGCTGGATGTTGCTGTTGTTGTTGTTGTTGGTTGGTTATTTTCATAACCTCCGTCTTGTCTATGTTCACCTGGAGTCCTGTCTTTGCTGCTTCTTCGACCAGTTTGTCGGTTTTCGCTTGTAAGTCTTCGATTTTGTGTGACATCAAACATAAATCATCCGTGAAATCCAGGTCTTCTAGGTTCTTCACGTCGGTCCAGGATATCCCTGTCTTCTCGTTTCCCACTGTTTGACGCATAATCCAGTCCACCACAATTAGGAATATCATTGGTGATAATAAGCACCCTTGTCTGACTCCTGTATTTACTCCAAACGCCTCGCTGAGTTTTCCGTTATGGATCACTTGACACGTGCAGCTGTTGAATAAGGTTGATAAATATTTGGGGTAAGCCGTATTACTAGAGTAGTTTCCAAATTAATTCGCGGTCAGCGCTGCTAGTAGAATAAGATAAAGACTGGAAGTTGTTCTGAGAAGAAGATATCCAGCCGCCAAACTTGTATGTGTGTACGTATGTGTATGGAACGATAAGTTGTTTGATGCAATTAAAAGTGGACAAACTTTCACCTCATATCAGTATTATTAATTTTCCCTTGGGTTCCAAATGGAACATATGGCTTCAACAATACATCATCACTTTATTCTATCTTCTGCTGTCCTCTTCAGCTGGGTGGGCCCACGATTGCACAGAGTCTCTCATCTCCTCCTCTATGTCACCCTAGGATGGTCCACTCTTCTTTTCTCATTCAGGTTCCACTCGAGCAAGGGCCTGCATTGAGTGTAATGTTATTCGAAGGTCTCTTGAGTTGTGTGCATGCCCAATCCATCTCCATTTTCTCCTATATATTTGGTTGGTTTGTTCATTGTCAGAGTTTCTTGTGGCTAATTCTTTCTGACCAGCCAGCCATTTGATCTTCAGTATGGAACCAACGAAGGAGGCAGCTGTTGATGAGAATATGCACTGGCCTGTTGGAAATGCTTTTCGTGACTGACTCACGCGCAATTCACGTTTTTGACCTATACAGAAGAACTGACTGACTTGACATTTGTGTTGAACAGAATTCGAATATTGTTGTTTATGCTGACTGGCTGAGTGAGTGAGTGCAGAAGATTTCCAAACTGGTTTCAGGTGACTTCTTTCGAATTCCTCCCGCTGATAGTGATTGGTGCTGTTTGTTGTGTCTGTCGGTGATGGTTGGTTATCTTCATCACCTCCGTCTTCTCCATGTCCCCCTGAAGTTCTATCTTCGTCACACTGCTTTTTGTACCAGTTTGTTGGTTTTCACCTTCAAGTCTTCGAGTGTGTGTCTGCCATTTTACATGTACGTGACAAAGCACATACATTGAAAGAACAGATAGAAGGGTTATTGTCTGAATTTCTGAACATAAATCAAAGCACCTAAGATTAAGCGGTTCACAGGCGCTAAACATTACCATCTATTTGGCACAGGTTATTTATTGTGGACAATCTGAAGGCGTTCAAAATAGTCAATAGGCAAAAGAAACATATTTTGCTACGTTTTGCAGAGGCAACCACCATCAAACGACTAAAACAAAATTTATGTACGCAGAAAGAGAAAGTGATGTTTTTTGCACTACTATGGGGACTAAATTTAATTAAAAAAGTGTACAATTTTATTACGTCATGAATCTTCTTATATCTTCTTTCCTGTTTAGAAAGTTTTCATTGTTTTATCTGAACATTACTCAATCTAAGCCCTATTTTTGCTACCTTAGGGAAACATATTTCCGATACTTAAATGTTGGTTTGCAGGGAATTTGAACGGTTTCAGGATTTCATTATGGCCTAATATTCGTTAGAGAACCATTGGAAAACCACCACTCGAGTACTGGACAGCCAGCTGTTTTGCCAGCCTAGTTTGGGACTCTTCAGTAGTACGTGCTCACCCTATTGGGATTCGAACCCAGAACATTCTGATTACAAGGTGAGCTCGCTTTCAGGCAATTAAGCAAGTGGGACTCGATCCGATGGCCAGTTGATAAAATTCCAACTTCTTCAAATTCACGATGTAGTGTGACCACTAGCCAGACTCATTGCTGGCGAGTATTTGTCCTCACACCCAAACTGCTGTATCCCACTGGTCACGACTTCTCCTGGTACACTTCTCATTCTTGCTTTGTGCGCAAACCAAACTGTATTATCAAATATCTGTTTATAGCGAAAATATTCATTCAGACATCTAGAAAACACAAAATAATTGAGCAAAGAATATTCTTTTCGATAATTTCCTCTTCTGGCTCTACAATCACACATATATATATATGTTCATATACACAAAATATTCTAGAATAGTAGTCAATAACAATATTAGTGTTTCGTTTAAATAATATCGATTTGTTAAGTAAGACCACAACGGAATTACAGTTCATTGAAGATGTGTAAATTATAATAATAATAAAGATATAATAGCAAATAGAATATCAACTAAAATTAGGAAAACTGCACAAAAGTTGAGTATCATTCAAACCTAGATGGCCAGAGTGGTAAGGACAATGTATGAATTACATTCTTTTGGACGCACAAATTGGGCTTCTTAATATGAATCCCAACGGCCAGCCTCAGCAATATGCAGTAGACGAAGGCGAGGTTAAGATATGTTGGTATGCGGTAAATGACTTAGAAAGCCGCCTTGTTGTTTGCATCAATCTTGTGTTCTGTACCCACAAGATGAGATAGAACAGCACTACGAATAGATTTTGTTTGTCCTTTACTTAACCATTATGCAGGGTGATGTTCGGGAATTTGACGAGAAACACGCCTAATTGTACGGCCTATGCAGTTAACTGGCTCACTCCACAAGAGCTGTTAAATTGGTAGATAAACATGGAAGAGGCGAAATTAGGTAGTTTATCTTTTACTTTCAAAAGCAAAATAGGTGGGTGGTTTTAAAGACACAGCGTTGTTCAGCAGCAGCAGCACTGAATGCCCTTTTTGCCACATTTCTAAGGCGCTGTGTTAGTATCTCGCTGATGTTATCCTCCAGGAACTGCATTTCTAAGAATAAGGGCGTTTTAGGAACTACTGGTACCTTGGACTGCTTTGATTTTAGATTCATATTCTTATCACAATAAACTTTCCTGGTTGAAACCGTTTTCACTCAGCAACCGTTTAATATTATTAAGTTCCTCATTAAAACATTCATCCGAGCAGCTTGTTCTCTTGCTCTGTTCGATGGTGTCTACCAGTAGATTCCAGGAGGCATATTTCGTAGTGTTTTGGACATATATTAGAAGGATGTGTTGGTGCTTCAGTGAAGGATGAGAGTATTCCCAATTGAAGCTGGAATCCAGTATTTGGTGCTTCAAACACCAAAGCGTTATCCACTAGGTGGGTGGGTTGTGAGTAATGGGTATTATCCGAACTTATTTTATTTCATCAACAAGTAACTTTTGCAGTTAAGTGTTCTCTGTGCTGGTTGGTTTAGTTGCGAAGCTTTCGTCGTCCTTCTGGGCAACATCTTCTGCGCCATATTTAGCACAAAGTGAAATGATTTGAATTTCTTCATGCATGATGTAATTGCGTCTCCTGGTTACTATCTTTACATGTGTATTGACCACTTTCTATTGACTTGGATTTTAAACTTTTTGGTCACCTGATTTACTTTTTATTAATTGGTATATTTCATCTATATTAACGTGTTTGTTAATCGCATTTTCGCTTGAGTACCAGGCTTCTAGGAATTCTCTGGCACTTTTCGTGTTTCCTCTGTTTAAGATTTTGACATGATCCCAATCAAATTGATGACCATAATTATCTGTATGCATTGATACTAAAGAATTTATACCATGTCTTTTCACGGATGATTTATGTTCTTGGATTCTGATTCGAAGGGGACGCCCACTTTGGCCGATGTAATGCATGTTGCAGCTCATACAATTTATTTTGTAGATGGTATTAATTTTATCTCCTTTTTCTGTTGGATCTTTTGGTTTGCATAATATCGAATTAAGCGATTTTACTGGTTTGTGTCCTATATCTATATCTAACGGTTTCAGTATTCTGGCTTTTATTTCAGAGATATCCCTC